TATCATCATTACTAAATCCGTTTGAATCAACTGATGAAAATTATCGAATAATGTTCAATAACAAATTGCACTGAAGTAACAAACACGTATAGATAATATTCAATAGTAATGAAAGAAGTCAATAAAATAAATGAATAATCGAACAAGTTAAAACGAACTGATATCGGGATGTTTGACGAATAATAACTTAATCAATTTATACAGAATATTATCATTAATCACTTCACCGCATCCAGTCCTTGTACCGTGGATTCCCTTCAATATCATTTCGGTTTCAATTCCACAACTAATTTACTAACCATGACAACAACAATAATTAAAATAATAAATAATAATAACTAATAATAATCATAACAGTAATAAAAATTAAAAAACAATAATAACAAATAAAACGAACCTCAGCAAAAGTCTCGAGTAATTCTTCACCAAAACTACTGTCATCCACTTCTCCATCGCCGATAAATGGCATATGCGAAAGTTTTTTTTCATCTTTGCACTAAAATTGAAAATAATATTAAAAGCATGAATTCAAATCTTTCTGTACAATAAAATGAATGTTGTGCAAAACAAAAAGCGAATAAAATAAACTCTCCCGTACTGTCCAATTAATTCTAGGGAAAGTTACTAGAAATAATACGCTCTGATTGAACAACAGAACATACGTTCAATAATAGCAACTGAACAATTAGTAATGATATTAAATAACGAACCATCACGTTGATTTCTGTCATTGTCCAATATTGCATTTTTGGGGTTGACATTAGACGTTCAAGTGAATGAGACGGGCATTTTTGCAGAACGGCATTTGCAATTGATCGAATGGTGAATATTGATGGATCGGTGCATTGATGCGATGATGATTTCATGTCTGGTTCAACTATTTCACCGAGTGCCTTTAATTCAATATCATGTCAACGAGAAGAGCTTGCAATCCACTACAATGCTAACATTGCTGAAATATTTCATGATGGAATCTAATTCAAATCGAGCCTGGTCTGAATTCCAAACTGATACAATTTTAATCAACACCAGTGCTAAGTTCTACCCACTTTCTATATTCACGATGTTGGAAGTCTTTTTCATTTACTGTAATTTAATTGATCGCAAAAGTAATACTGCCTGTTAAAATAAATAAATCGTTCAGTTAAATAAATTGTTCTTGAAATACTACGGAATGAAGTTGGCTTGAGAGAGTGAATAAACAAATTAACCTGATATCTTTTTGGAGTCTGTTGATGTGCCCACAGATAACGTTCCTGAATAAAGACCTTATACAATTACTCACATCTGGGGTATTCCAAAATAAATTAGATACAACCATCAATAATATGTCAAGCAGTCAACTTAGATTGACATGAGCATTCAATATATTCATATCGTGAATGTTTTCATTAATCAGATGACTGTATTCAGGAAAACAATTCAATATTCAACGATAAAAGCACGAATAAAACAACGCCTACTACCAAACAAACTACTAACCAGTCCTTCTGTATTAATAATTTTGTCTTCGTCCTTCCTCACTTCATCATACGCGTCCTTAACATAATCCAATAAGTCGCCCAATAATTCCTCTTCCATACTGATGTCGGCCCAATCTATTGAATTGTCACTCTCCTCAGCCCGTTCTTCTTGTTTCTCCTTCATTAATTATATCATCGTTCATTAATTACAATCGTTGATATCTTTTAACAGTCACTAATAAATGAATATTATCATATAACGAAACGATTTGAAAATAAAAACCTCTTCCAGCAAATTTTTGTCCTTCTTCGCACTTTTCGTCTTTATTTTACTCGATTGTGAACGGGCTATTCTTCTGCGGGCTACCATCTTTATCCAATATTCACCAACTCAAT